GAATTTCTGCAGTGTATCTTGTAGATAATACACACTGCTGCTACTGAGCGTCGGTGGTGGAGGGAGTGGATGCTTGTGGGTGTAGTGCCAATCAAGTGGGTCACTTTGTCCTGGATGGTGTCAAGCTTCTTGAGTGTTGTTGGGGCTGCACTCATCCAGGCAAGTGGGGAGTATTCCATCCCACTCCTGACATGTGCCCTGTAGATGGTGGACAGGCTTTGAGGAGTCAGGAGATGAGTTACTCACCGCAGTATTCCTAGCTTCTGGCCTGCTCTTGTTGCCACTGTGTTTATGTGGTGAGTCCAGTTGAGTTTCTAGTCAATGATAACACCCAGGATGTTGATAGTGGGGGATTCAGTGATGGTAACACCATTGAATGTCAATGGGCAGTGGTTAGATTGTCTGTTATTGGTTGATGGTCATAGTCTGGCATTTGTGTGACGCGAATATCACTTGCCACTTGCCACTTATCAGTCCAAGCCTGGATATTTTCCAGATCTCGTTGCATTTGAGTCATCTCTCAACTGCAGGTGGTGAGTCAACTCTTCATCTAAGACTCAAAAACAATCTGTCCCCAGTTAGTTTGTCTTTTTGGTTGCCTTTTCTCAGTTCTCCACAAATCTGTTCAGATCTTTGATAAAAGTATGAATACTTACCCCTTGTTGCAGGGTACACTTATTAAATTTAGCCCTCTCAACCATGATGGTTTTTTGCACATTGTAGGAGGCTTCAAGGAGCTTGCAAACCCCTTTACATGAAGAGTTTTCTTCATTGATCCCTAACTGGACTAGGATATCGGTGGCATAGTCAGGCATTGCATGTGAGGTCAGGTGTAGTGCAGTACCTTGTGAAACCTTGGTTCTAATTCAGCTATACATCTGCTTGATTGGAACCTGTAACTTGCTCAAAGGTTTTGGCTAATGGTGGAGACTTTTCCATAATGTTCCTTCATTCATAGAGTCATAGAACTGTACATCATAGAAACAGACCCTTTGCTCCAACTTGTCCATGCTGACCAGTTATCCTACAGTAATCTAGTTCCATTTGTCAGCATTTAACCCTTATCCCTCTAAACCCTCCCTATTCATATACCCATCCCCAGATGCCTTTTAAATGTTGTAAATATACCAGCTGGTACCACTTTCTCTGGCAGTTCATTCCATACCCTCTGTGTGAAAAACTTGCCCTTAAGGTCCCTTTTAAATCTTTCCCCTCTCACCTTAAACTTATGCCGTCTTGTTCTGGACTCCCCCATCCCAGGGAACTACCATATAATATTTCTGGTCTCATTAGCTGCTAAAGAATATCTATAGAGTCTTCTAAGTTAAGGAAAACATTAGCTTTTAATCTTAGAGTGGCGTCATTGTGCTACGAAGGTGCAAGAGAGAGCAAGATCAAATGACAAAGCCTCATTTCCTATGATTATGTAGATCGAGTCTCACTGGCATATCACAGTCACACTTAACCCCTTTCACTACAATAGTATTTACGCTGGAGCTATGCTAATAAGGTTGACTGGTAACTTGAGCTTCACTTTTTCTTGGCAAGAGAAATTATTTGTAAAGAAGACTTAAGGATGTTACAAAAATAGATAGGTTACGTGAGTTGGCAAAGATGTCAGTGTGCCAATGGAATATAATGTGTGAAAATGTGAAATTGTCCATTTTGGCAGGAAGAGTAAAATAATTATCTAAATGGGGAGAGACTGCAGACCTCCAAGATGCAGAGAGATCTGGGCGTCCTTGTGCATGAATTGCAAAAGATAAGTATGCAAGTACAGCAAATAATTAGGAAAGCTCATAGAATGCTACCATTTATCACAGGGAATTGTTTACAAAAGTAGGAATCAAAAACAGAGAGTGCTTGAGAATCTCAGAAGTCTGGCAGCATCTGTAGAGATAGGAATAATGTTAACATTTTGAGTCGTCGCCCTTCGCTCTCCTGTTCTGATGAACAGACACTGTACTCATGAACATAAACCTGTTTCTCTGTCTACAGATGCTGCCAGACCTGCTGAGTTTCTCCAGCACTTTTTGTTTTTGTTTCAGATTTCCAGCATCCGTAGTTCTTTGTTTTGGTTTACAGAAGTAGGGAGGTTATGCTGCGGTTTTACTGCCAGAATGTGCCCAGAGTAATGTTCGGAGTATTAACAAAGTATATAAATGTATTGGAGGTAGTTCAGATAAAATTTACCAGACCAATTCCCAGATTGTTCCTGGGTTGGTTTATGAGGAAAACTTGGACATGCTGGACTTGTATCTGCTGGAGATCTTGACAGGGTAAATATGGAGAGCATGTTTCCTCTTATAGGAGATTCTAAAACCAGGGGTCACTGTTTAAAAATCAGGAGGCACCCATTTAAAGCAGAGATTAAGCAATTTGTTTTAGAATCATAGAACCCCTACAGTGTGGAAACATGCCATTTTGCCAACAAGTCTATACTGCCCCTCTGAAGAAAATCCCACCTAGACTCATTCCCCATGTCTAACCCACCTAACCTAACCATCACAGGACAATTTAGCCTGGCTAATCCACCTAGCCTACACATCTTGGGACTGTGGGAGGAAACCCACACAGACATGGGAGAACGTGAAAACTCCACACAGACAGTCACCCAAGGCTGGAAATGAACCCAGGTCCCTGGTGCTATAAGGCAGCAGTGCTCACCACTGAGCCACTGTTTTCTTTCAGGGTGTTGAGAGTCTTTGGAACTCTTTATTTGAAAAGCTACTGGAATCAGAGCCTATGAATATTGTTAAGACAGAGATAAAGAGATTCTTGAAAGTTGAGCGGATAGGCAGGAAACGGACTTGAGGTTGCAATTGGATCAGTCACATTGAATAGTGGAGTAGTCTTGAGAGTCTACATGGTCTACTCCTGCCCCTAATGAGTTTGTTGTTTGTACGTAACTTGTGGTGTCAAAAAAACTCTCTGGCATCAACTGCTATTGCAGCTTTGAGAAAATTTCTAAAATATTTCCCATATAATGCATTTGAAATACAATGATTGCTATTGTATCATTTTGCACACAGCAAGATCCCATGTATCACAAGAAGAACGGCATTTTTTATTTCAAAAATATACTCTATTCACAAAAAAACTTCATATACAAACATAGTCACTAAAGCAGTTCGATTTGGTACAGTCATAGCTTATGGAGAACAAAGAAACATTGGAGTTTGACTTTCCCGACAGCTCCAATAAACCCAAAGCAGTTTTTACTTATGCAAGATACTATTTACATATATTTCAGGGACCAGAAGGGTCCAATAAATGAACAGACCCCATTGTATTTTGGCAGAAAGACCTTAGACCTTAGAGCTGCTCCAAGCTTTAGTGCTCCCCTCAGCACGTAAACCTGGACCTTGGAATGTGCCAGTCTGCAACACTCAGTCTGGGTCAACTCCTTGCTCTGGAAGACTAACAAGCTTCGGGCAGATCAAAGAGTGTCTTTCATCAAGTCAATTGTCCTCCATGTGCAGTAAATGTTTGTCTCATTGTGTGTCCCAGGGAACAGACTGTAGAGAACAGAGTCCTGTGTCACAGAGCTGATTGGAAAAAACTTTGACAAAAACCACTGCATTTCTCTTCAGTCCTCCTTCCAGCAGGGGGTGTGGCAGTCTCTAACCACCCATAGCTGCTTTGAAGGCAGTGAGCAGTGGCATAGACAGTCTGGGCATACGTGAAGGATCTCACAGGTAGTGCCCTTCTCACCACCAGTCAAGCGAGGTCTTGGTGCTTGTTGAACATTCTGGTAATGAGACATTCTGCCAAATAAGTTTGACAGTCTGCTCA